CAGCAAGAACTTCATGGCCCGGCTCCTTTCTGATTTCTGGTGACAATCTACTCTTTGCTTAAGAAACCCTCAAAAAAATAAAAATAATAATCCCTATATTACCACCATAAGGAATATATTTTTTATTTTTTGGGGGTTCTTAAGCAAATAGTAGCAATGGTACAAAGTAGAAGAGACTCCAGGGAATGGAATATGACGCATTGAAGATATGGAAACCCCAGTGTAGGTATTCTGGCTTACTATATGGGTGGCTGTCAACACTATGGTCCCTTTTTTAGTCCCTAATATAATACAGCACCTAAAATTTAGGGTGCCCTAAAAGGGACCCTGATGTTGACAACCACCCATATGGCCGGCATCATCTCCTGTAGGAGGCTCGGTAGTTGAAGGCCCTACATATTGGTGGTTCTCTAACATGGGGTCTGTTTGAAAAGGGACCCAAAATAGTACAGTCCTCTTCTACAAAAAGACTAAAGGGGACCCTAATTTAGAGAACTACCCATCAAGCTGTAAACATGTTGCGGTAGAGAAGGCGGAAGTACCGTGGCTAGTGTTTGCAGTGTTTGTTATGTGCGCTGTGCCTACCACAGCTGGTCGGCGACGAGGCTACTTCTAATGGCGATATTTGAACCTCCAAATCGTGTCAACATGGGCATGAAGCTTTAGTCTACCGAAGAGAGCTTGCCGATGCCTCGCACTTCCTGATTTTCGCCACGGGGCCAATAGAAGATGCCACCATTCAGAATCGAGACAGGCACGAGGCATAGAAGAACAAATGGAATGGGAATGGCCTGGGAGTGACTGTAGGCCAGCCTGGACAGCATGGGGTTCAGGGTTTATCAGGGTTAGGGTTTAGGGTTTGGGGTTTAGGGTTCAGAGTCTACAGGGGTTAAGGGTTTAGGGTCTTAGCTCAAGCAGGATTTAGGGCCTAGGGTTCAGGCTTTAGATTTTTGGCTTAGGAATTTGGGGCTTGAGGCGCGGGATAAGTGCGTTTGAGGGTCAAGCCTTTAGAGGGTCTAAGTTTCAGAACGGTTTAGTGCGCCAAACCAGGCTCCTAATTTTAGGGTTCTGCGCCGCAGGGCCGTGCAAAAAAGCAAGCATGCTTTCCTTGCACACTAAAGCCAGAAACACACAAGGACCGGGGTGAAGGTAATGAGTATATTCCCCACGATCATCAACAGGAGGACAATCGCGCGCGCGCGCGCGCGCGCCTGCTTTAGCCACACTAGCAACGGACAGTGGTGGCTGTATTCAACAAGGCTGATGACAGCAGCAAGCATGTACCCAAAGCAATAGCAACAGCAGCCATATCATACTGATAGACCTCCTCCTCCTCCTCTTCTTGACCGTTGGCATCCTTTTCCTCACCATCATCGTCACCATCATCATCACCAATCTCAAATGATTCACCCCAAAAAGCAACCCGATTGTCACAATAGTACTCCACATCCGCATCGCCCTTCCGGCTACCCGCAACTATTGCAATCTCAACGACCCCCCATTGTCCGCATCGTCGCCAGAAATGCTGTCAGTGTCATACTATCACCATTGCTGACCATAATCGTGGAAACATCAAAGGCTGCATGGCCATCGCCCAAACTATCACCTTAACAACCATTCTGCTCATCTTGATCATTATCATCACCGCCATGCTCATCATGGTCATTGCTATCACCCGGTCACTACGATTGTCGACGGCGCCATCAAACTCGTTACCGTCATCACAGTCATCATCCTCGTCTTCACAGCCATCCACGTACGGTTTAGTCCCCGTTCTTGTCGATTCCATTCAGCATCATCAAGCCCGCCATAGGCATTTGCACCACCATCACAAAACATCCTTCTGGAGAACTATCTGCACCATCATTGACAAAGACAGCAACGTCATCTGTTTCTGATGACCAGGCCGTCTGCATCCTGCTTTTTCGTCCATCACTCAACATCATCATCATCATCACCATCATCATCACCATCATCATCATCACGATGCGAACCCCTGAGCATCCTCATCGCACGCCGCCATCCTCCATCATTATCACAGTCGTCACCATCACGATCATCCTACTCAGCATCATCCCGGCCATCATAGTTAGTAACACACTCAACATCGATCATCAGGCTTTCCAGCATCATCGCCGTCACCATCATTAGAATAATCCTCCTCCACCTCCTCGTCGTCTCTCTCTCATGTTCGAAAGCACCGGCCGCAATAGCCAATGCAAACGCTTTGTCTGTATGGCTCCATCATGCAAGCTATCATCACCAGCATGCGCAACATGACCATCAGCACCTCTACCGCTGCGGTCCTCAACGAACAGACTGAATTTGGAAACTGTGTCGATGCCAGCCACACTAGCCGCTAGCCCTCGCCTGCATAACTCCAGCTTCATGATTAAGTACAACTCGAGTCACCACTATGATGTGATCTTCATCTCCATCATCAACGTCATCGGCACTACCAGCGCATACCGCAAAATCATCATCCTCATCACCCGTGGAATTTCAGCACTGTGCATTTCCCGGAAAGCACCTGACACAGAAAAGCATTCCGACACTACGACTCGCCCACCCTAGCCAGACATGATGAAGCTACAGCCCTAAGGTCCCCCATCGTAAACTCGTGATACACGTAGTAGGCACAGCTCTGAACCCGAAACCCCAGGATTGTGGGTGGCAGACAGTGAAATCCAGAACGAATCCTTGCAGAGCCAATGAGGCCCAGATGCCCTAATGGTGGCTTCCAGACCCCCTAATCCCTAGACCATCAATCCTAAACCTAAACTTAAGCCCAGCGAGCTTTGTTTCGAACCCTGCCACCGACATGCACAGCTGGGTTTACACGCCCAAGACTTCGCAGGCTTCAGGCCGGTCGGGAGAGTTGCTACTACAGGGTTTACTGGTTCAGGGCTTTGGGTTATGATATAATTTTGGGGCTCGAGGCCTGAACTTGACCGCTGCGTTTTCGCTGTTCAACTTCGTTCACGAAAACCGAAGCAACACCCTACGACGACGACGCGTATCGCATCGTCTTCAAGGGCGGAAGGGTTTTAGGGTTTGGGGAAAGGGTTTGGGTTGTCTTGTGCAGTGGAAGAGAACCATAACCAAAAAAACAAAACCAAAAAATAAAAAACAACAAAAAAAACAATTTTCAGACAGTCTTGATCAAGAGTTCGGGATAATGCTACTTACAGAAGACTTTCTGAAAATTGTTGTTTTTTTTTTTTTTCTTGTGTTTTTTTTGGTTTTTTTGTTTTGTTTTTTTTTTGTTTTTTTTGGTTTTGGTTTTTTGTTTTTTGTGATTTTGTCTCTTCCACTGCACAAGAACGCTGAACCTCCTTCATCCTTCGGGCTCACTGAACTGGACTAGGACTTACCTCTATCACACTCATCTCTATAAATTGCTAATACTACTACTAATGACAATAACAATAGTTATACTAGTGTTAAGACTATTTCAAGTATTTTGAATAATACCACTAACGAAACCGCTCAAATTATCTACTAACTCTAATCAGTATCCGCTGTGTTGATGTTCTGCAAGCCGTAAAACAGCAAAAACGCAGCAGATAGATTTCCGCTTTAAACCGGTATTTCATAAGGAAACCGGAATGCCATAAAATATGGGCATTTTATATGAAGTTGTGGTAAAGTCCTTGTAAGGTATATATGGATGGGGTATTCTGTAAGGTAAATATCTTGCTACTCTTCTTGGTTCTGGATTCTCTTCATAGTAATCCTTTGCCCAATAAGCTAGAATTGAAATGGGGGCTTCTCAGATCTTGGGCTCCGAATGGTTTTGCATATTTCAAGTCCCTACCTTCAGTGTACTCTATAGGGTATTCGGGTATTCTGCAGAGGATTATAAGGGGTATCCCAGAAGGTATTCTACAGGCATGCTATATGGTGTGTGTGTGTATATATATATATAGTAATTATGCAAGGGGTATAGGCGGTCTCATAGAAGGTATTCTACAGGGTATTCCAGACGGTGTTCTAGAAGGTATATGTAGGCTACATCGGGGGAATTGTGTAAAGTATTGCATAAGGTAGTCCAAAAGCTATTGTATAGGTTATTCCACAATGTGTTGTAGAAGGTATTCTATAGGGTATGTAAAGGGAGATGTTATCAGGTATTCTGTTCTCTATGTGTATCCCTTAGGCTTCGATTTGTTCACGGATCCTAGATTCCGCTAGCCTAGAAGGTATATCTAGGTGTTGTTCTAAACCGTGTTCTAACAGGTGTTATAGGCGGTCTCATTGGAGGTATTCTACAGGGTATTCCAGACGGTGTTCTAGAAGGTATATGTAGGCTACATCGGGGGAATTGTGTAAAGTATTGCATAAGGTAGTCCAAAAGCTATTGTATAGGTTATTCCACAATGTGTTGTAGAAGGTATTCTATAGGGTATGTAAAGGGAGATGTTATCAGGTATTCTGTTCTCTATGTGTATCCATTAGGCTTCGATTTGTTCACGGATCCTAGATTCCGCTAGCCTAGAAGGTATATCTAGGTGTTGTTCTAAACCGTGTTCTAACAGGTGTTGTCTAGTTTAGAGGGTGTTCAAACAGCTTTATACAAGGTATGTAGGGGGTTATTCTAGAAGGTCGTACCGTATGTTGTATGATCTCCTTTTTAGGTTTTTAGAAAGGGTATTCTGTAAGGTATTCTACAGGCTATTCTCTTTTGTCCACAGTGCCATGTTTTGCGCGCACTTCTCGCAGGAAGTTTAGGATGCATACACATACGGGTTCCATCCCATGTGCATGTGCTCAAGAGACACCGTGTTAGCATGGAGGACATGGTACATCATCGACCCTTTTGTTTGAAGCCCAAACGCAGCGGTCAAGTTCAGGCTTTGAACCTTTTGGGGCTCGAGGGTTTGTGTTTAGGGCTTTGGGATATGATATGATGGCTTAGGGTTTGGGTTTAGGGCTTTGGGATATGATATAACTTGTAACTCTCATATGTTGCTGTCCTCTGCCTGCAAAAGCCTAAACCCTCAACCCCAAACCCTTAAAAGCAGGCCAAGGAACACGATCTCCCGGATCACGTTGAGCACGATGTATATGAAAGACAGGCAGAGGATGCGGCAAATGGTGGAGCCGTCTAGGATAGGCTTCGTCACTCCCCAACCCAGGCAAGCCAGTAGCACCAGCATGTAAGAGGCTGTTGACCTACAACGGGCATTGGGATCAGGATTCAGGAAGTGGAGAGGCAATTGCTAAGGGTTTGGGAACGAGGACCTGCAACTCTTGGGGTTAAGGACCTACCATTCTGCAATGCTCGCGTGTGCAACGCTTGCGCTTAGCGATGTCTTCGGCCGAAGGGCCGAATCTTTGTGATTTTTGTGGGCTGCTATTTCTTGTGCTCTGTTATTATATACAAGTTTCGTACCTTCCCTTTCGATAGTGGGATTAAGCAGCTCTGGTTGGAAGAGTATGAAGATGTGGGAGAGGCCGAGCACGAATAAAAGTGTACCGATTCAGGGCTCAAGGGCTTGGGCCTGGGGTTTTTTGAGGTTCCTCTTGCACACCCGTCTCTCAACGACACTGATTTCGGGTTTAGGATTTCGAAAAACATGAACATACCTCCGCCCCCACACAGAGTCTTAGCCTTCACTGCCCTGATCATAAACAGAACGCTCGCATCGGACATGCACCATTAATGTGCTGGCACTGCTACAGTTGCTACCTCAGCATGGGTTTCCGGAAACCCAAAGACACCTCGTCACAGAGCAGACCACGGCAGAGGCAAAAAGGAAGTTGCTGTGCATGCCGCTGCTATTCCTCTCAGGGGGTTTCGGATTTGCTCAGGTCAACGAGACCTCAAGGCTGTGTCTCATGCTTTACAGGATTTAGTGTCTACAGTGTAGGGATTGAAGGGTCACGGTGGAGGGTTAGGGGTTTTGCGCCGACGTCTAATGCCCTAAACATGAACCCTCAACCCTGAACCGTGCTTTTGGCCCAGGCTCCAGTCTATCAGGAAGAGATACCAGATCCCAGACTCGGCTACTGCCAGGAAGCAGACCGCCGCAATGCACAGGTGGATGTTGAAGAGCTGCGTCCTGGGGCTTAAGGTTTAGGGTTTAAGTGTTGAGGGTTTAGGGTTCAAGGGAAATCTGGGGTTTAGGGTTGAGGGTTGGACGGAAACCCAGACCTGAAATGCTAAAACGTATAGAGAAAGGGGTGTCTAGCCTTAGACCAAACCCTAAGCCCAGACTCAAAGCTCTGTCCGTGGGCTAGACTTAGAGGAAGCATCCACAAGGGAAAAATAGTTTCAGCGCGTTTCAGCTTCTTTGCTGGAGCTCTGGCGTCGCACCGAAAAGGTAAAGTATAAGTAGAGGGCTGCTGATATGGCATGAATTAGCGTAGACGGCTTGCGGGCCTTGCTCGGGTTTTCGGTGTTTACACAAGGTTCGGGCTCCGCGTTTCAGGTTGGTTAGCACAGCATGGCACTGACAAGGAGGCTAGGCATGCAGTTGCAGCGAACCCTGCAAATCTGTCCACCACCGCACGCACAGCAGCACCCAGATGACGAATAGCGCACTGCAGACGAGGCCGGAAATGCCGTAGAAAGGCATTTTGCTGTACCTGCACAAACTCGTAAGCACGTCCGTTGACGGACAACTCCGATGACACTGCTATCACACCGACACCAGTGGCTGAGTCGGAGAGACAACCCTCGTAGATAATCAAAAACATCGAAGCCCAACAATGCGCAATAGGCAGAAGGGCGACGAGGACAACGACCACTAGCAGGGGCGGTCAACTGAAAGATAAGGAGCAGTAGCATCTGCTTGAAGTAAGCCCGGTGGACAACCAGCAAGCACTGGCACACACCCGCGCTGGCAGACCGTTCGGGTCACTCGTTGGCTGGGAGGTAGCCATGCTGGTTCTTGACGATGACCTGGCCACTGATTGTCGCCTGATCACGTCATCAGGGAGCACAGTTGTGAGTGGTTCGCTCGCTGCTTCTGCAGAGTAGCTATGCTTTTTGGAGGCTCCTAGACGGTTCAGAGACAGCTAGTGCCCCGAACAGTCACACGACTGGCGCCATTCTGCTGCGCTCAATTTATGCCGAATACTCATGTCCTGATATCGCGATTGTTGTTTTGGAGCTGGCTTGTTGTTCTGTTGTGGCTGTGAGTGATACAACCAAGATCACATTGACATGATGACAGCGATGAAGGCGATAATACTCCTGACGCTGACGACGGAGGTCACAATACACACGAGGACCACGAGGATGAGGTATTCTAACACATTTGACGCTGATGGAGAAGCTAGTGAAGGTTATGGTGACGACAGCCATGACCTAGCAAATGACGATGAGGAAGGGTAGGATGACGATCATCAGCAGGATGGTTTTGGTGACGAGGGTAGCAGGGATAATTCAATGATGAGAATGATGGTCTCGATGAGGAGGGTGATGATAACTATGATGGGCGATGCTGGTGACTGCGTGATGCTGTTGATGATAAGCATACAAACAATAATGCTACTGGCAGTGATGGCGATGATGACGTTGTTGGGGATGATGGTGACAAAGGCGATGGTGATGATGATGATGATGAGGAGGATGATGATGATGATGGTGGTGGTGATAATCATACTGAAGGTCACACGTTGGCGAAGAGACTCCTCTTACCGCCGCCGCCGCGGAAGACGATGATGATGATAATGTTGGTGATGATGATGATGATGATGTGGTTGATGATGATGATGGTGATGATGATGATGGCTCATGTTGAGGTTCGAGATGACAGCACTTGTTGGAGTACGACGAAGGTAATGTTACTCATCGATGGTGCTGCCGGTGAAGACGATGCAACAATCACACTGGAAAGGCTGAACTGCCGATGTTGATGCTGAACATGACATGTACAATGATAATGAGACTGTGGACCATGAAGGGTCCATGAAGGGGTTGTGCCAATATGGGCCATGACGACTCACATCATCATGATTCCTAATGTTGGCTGCCATTGAGTTGGACGAGGGCGACGAAACATACCCAAGAATACGATCAGCACCGCCATCATCTTCATGCCGCATAAGACCACTGACTATGTTAACGTTCCGAAGCCGAGACGCCTGAACTCCTGAACCCTAAAGCACATATCCTAGACCCAACCCCTAAAGCCGAAGTCAAAAATCCTGTAAGTAGTCAGTGCCTGGTCAAAGGTGCCGCAGTTCCTGGTTTGGGGCTCGCGGTTTCGGGTTAGGGCAGGGGTTTGAGATTTGGGCGTTGGATTAGAGGATCTCCGGTTTGGGGTTAGGGTTTGCGGTTCACATGGTAAGGTTTAGGGATTAGGGTCTTTACATGGTAGAGGTTAAGGTGAATGCTGATGGCATAACGCATATACGGCACAGGGCACAGTGTTTCTGGCGTCAACAATGTGCGGTGTGGATGTTCTACAGACTTGAGCAGCCTGGCTCAAATAGATCCCAGTCCTAAACCCTAAACCCTACACGCCCATTATACTATAGTTATAAGGAATCCCCACAATAATCTAGGTAACAATTGAGGCCTCTGTGTTAATTAGTAGGTCAAGGCTTCGGATTTCGGATTCAGGGGTGTTTAGGATTGGGTGCAGGATATTCGGTTTCTGGGAATTTGGGTTGGCTTGCTGTGGTCCGAGCCAGTGCTGCCCAAGTGTCGAGACGACAAGGTAGTACACCCCACCATGCTTCACGACAACCCTCTCGTCAGGCTCCTGGAACAGAAGGCTTCCCTCGCGCCTTTCGGGGGTGGTGGTCGTCGTGGTGCTGCTGCTGCTGCTGCTGCTGCTGCTGCTGCAGTTGCTGCCATTGCTGCTGCTGCCGCGGCTGCTGCTGCTGCGCCCGAAGGCTGTCCCGAGAGATTGGCCACAAAGAATAAGAGAGCCCTGACTCAAACACGTGAAGCCTGAAGGGCGCAGATCAAAAATCTTCATGCCAACAAACGTGGAACAACGGCCAATCCGAACGGGCATGCCTGAACCCTCTGACCCGAAGTGTAAATGCGGCTCCTTCTTTGCAAACCGAAGCTGATGCCTGTAGACATTGACGTCGGCCAAGCTTTGCCCGTTGTTTCTGCGAATAATGAGGTGATCCTGGACTTTGCTGAGACCTTGCTGGACATCGTAGTAGGTCGCGCACATCTGGCTGGTGTCAACTTGCGACCACAAGTCCTCATATTTTATCAAGTGAATCTGCAGACCCTGGTAGTCTTTGAGCTTGTCGTTGTCGAAATCCTCTGATGTGGATGACGCTTTCAGGCTCTTGAACTGCACGAAGGGAGTCACCGGAGCTCGCTTCCCCGTGACATTCGGAGGATCATAGATGAAGAATGCATAAAGTAAGCTCCTGAATGGCTTTAGGGTTGCTGGGTTTCGGGGCTTTAAAAAATATAGGCAATAGGGATTTCAAGCGCTGAGGCTTCAGGACTTTCTTTGATGTGAGGCTATAGCGGCTATCATGAAGTTCCCAAGGCCGGATAGCGGCAATAATGAAATGCCTTTCAGGTCGGTCCGGGATATTGTGGAGTGGCGTGAGAATTGCGTCTCATGCACTTCCAGCTGTCCGACGGCAGGGTCATGCGTGGAGAACTGTATAGAAAAAACCTCGCACATGCTGCGCATGGCTTCACGGACGAACTACGGACAAGCTCCCACAGGTCGACGGATCCACGGCAAGGCAGAAAGACACCCTACTATACACCATGAACTTTCCGCCGACCTCTGCCGCATCACTTGCGAACAGATCCAGTTGGACGCCGCCATACAAACAAGTCTGACTCGGAGTTTTTGCACCTGTCCCTCGACGACACAAGGCTGCTGCAAAGAAACAGAACCCATGGGGATTGAGCTTGGGCTTAGGGTTTAGGGGTTTAGGGTTTAGGGGCTTGTCTTGACTGTCGGGTGGAAGGTACCAGGAACAGTTGAAGCAATCATCACCTCACTAGCCACTTGCCTTTCGCTCCTGCCCCATTGCTGTAATGAAAAGCCCATGTGCAGCTTGGGGGTCAAAAAGAGGTTTGCAACATCTGCTGAGGCTCCCAAAACCCTAAACCTGCCAGGGCTCAGCGATTTGCTTTCTGGCACGGTAAACCCTAAAACCTAAAACCCTAACCCTGCCAAGGCTCAGCGATTTGCTTTCTGGCACGGTGGCTTCGTTGAATTTGTAGATCTGGGCACCGGCTGTACTGCAGAGCACAGCCGCCCAGAGGGCCCGCATGGGCTGTCCTGCAATCCGTCTCCCAGGTTGAAGGTTTAGGGTTTAGGGGTTTGGGGTTTCGGGCTTGGGCTCCAGGGTTTCGGTCGGAGGGCCAGGCTTCAGGGCTTCGGGTTCTGGGGCCTCGGCCCCAAGGCCCCCGGTAGTCTCAAGCAGGTATAGGCCCCAGGAACCTGAGGATCCAAAAACCTACCTGTTTTAGGGGTTCTACCCGCTAATTAAGGGGTCATAACCTACTATTCGGTAGGGCTTGGGGTCGCAGGAAGTCTAGAGACCTACACCCGAAATCCTAAACCCTAAGCCTGAAACCCCCAAACCCTACACCAAGAAGAATCAAACCCAAGCCCTAGATAACCGTACCACCTACACCTTAACGTGTTGAACCGCAAACTCGAAACCAAAAGCCCAAAACCTTCACCCCTAATCCTAAGCACTAAACCCTAAGCCCCCCTCCAAAACTCCTCCTTGAACACCTGGTGCTTCGGCCCCGTCTCTCCAGCGACTTTGGTGGCCGAGGATCGAAAGCCCGGCCCCCTTTCGGGTGCTCGCCCTGCTTGAGCCTTTGACTCCGGGCAAGAAGAAAGTGCACAGCCTTTAGGGTACATAGATGGGTGGTTGTCCAAATAAAAGTCCCTTTTTGGGTACCCTAAATATTAGGTGCCGTACTATATTAGGGACCCAAAAAAGGGACCATAATTTTGACAACCACCCAGATAGACCGATAGATCGATGGATCGATAGATCGATAAACCGATGGATCGATCAACAGATAGATAGATAGACAGACTGGCAGACAAGAAGATTACATAGATTAGATAGATAGGCAGACGACCACCCAGCCAGCCAGCCAGCGAGCCACCAAGCCAGCAAGCCAGCCAGCCCGCCAAAAAAGATAGATAGACAGATAAGCAGATGGACAGATTGATGGACAAATACCTAGATACATAGCGAACTGAGCTTAGAATAGATGAGATTGTCTTAGGTGTAGGCTCGACTAGATTGAAGTATAGGTTAGATTATGTTCAAGGCTAGATTGGCTTAGAATTGTTTACAACAGACATCAACAGATTAGAGCAGGGTCAGGCTATGTCAAACCAGGCTGGCTAGGCAGCCAGGCCTTGGTTGAGTCAGGTTATATGAAATAAACAAACAGATGGGTGGTTGTCCAAATTGGTCCCTTTCTGGGTACCCTAAATATTAGGATCCGTATGTATGATAATAAGGACCCAAAAAGGGACCCTAATATTGACAACCACCCAGATGGATACAAGGTTGGGAAAGGACGCAGGGTTTAGGGATTTCAGATTTAGGCCCTTTAGGAATTACTATCTGGGGCTTGGGACTTTGCTTTTGCCCGGATACCCTGCCAAGAGGGGCATGATGTATGGTCTCGTTTTTGGCAATCAGGTGCATCAGTTGCAATCGTGTTCAGCACAGCTCCCTAAGCCCTAAACCCCTATAGTAAGCCGCATAGCAACCCTCGTAGATCCCTTAATGGAACTCTTACAGTACCTGTACAGATCCCTTAAAGGAAGCGAAAGAGAGCTGAGCCGTCCAGAAAAGCTGGTTTGTCGGAGTCGCTGAACCCGCGCTTGACGTCTAAACATTAGCCCCACAGTCTAAAACATGAGCTATGCTAAACCCCACACCAGGAATCTAGCCTAAAGTTACATGGGCACTACTGGCCACTACTGACTACTGGGGATCCTCAACCTTCATACCTAAACCCTAAACCATCAAAAGTGGCTACGCGACTTCCGAAGCCCTGTGAGCCTTGGTACCGACCCTGTCGCAGGCGAAGGGTTGCGGGATGGCGGTTTTAGGGATTTAGGGTTTAGCGTCTGGGGTTTTGGGTTTAGAGTCTACAACTTGATGTAGGGTTGAGAGTCTACAACTTAGGACACTGAGAACCAAAAACGAAATACGCGTTCACCCCACACAAAGCCCAGTAGCCCCAAGACCCCATGCGCCCAAACAGTAGGTACTTAGGCCTTAAAGGGGTCCCTAGATGGGTACGATAAGGCCTAAGTACCTGCCACATTAGGGCACATGGAGCCACATGGAGCCGTTGGGTAGAAAACAACGAAAAGAGCCTGTACAGCCTTTGGCACCCGGCTCGCAGCTCCGAAGGAAGTAGGGCTTCAGCCACTCCTTGGGCAAGGGCCGACAATAAACAAAAAGGTTAGAGTTTAGGTTATTGTTGAAGCTCAATGGCTTCTTTCTGTGCTTGGAGAACAAGAACAAAGCTGCAGACAGTAGCCTGCCTCTCGAACGGGGTTTAGGGTTTAGGGCTTATAGGGTTTGGGAACGCTGAACTGATCAGCGCCGCGACTCTGCATATCTACGTCGCAGCCATTCATGTCGCCCTAATTAAGAGCAGCAGGTTGCTGTTTGCCTCAACCCAAATGGGAGTTTCCGAAGGGTACCCTAATATAGTACCTTAAAATAGTAGGATCCTTATTATAATTATAAGGATCCCAGAATAAGGTACCGCTAATTTTCGGAAACTCCCAAATGCCAAACCCTTAAAACCCTGGACCCCCAATCCGGCTCGAAACCCCAAACACCAAACCCCTTACAAAACGCAGATAGCGCCATGAGAATCCAAATGGGAGTTTCCGAAAATGAGGGGTCCTTATTTGGGGTCCTTATAATAAGGATCCTACAGTTTAGGGTACTAGATCAGGGTCCCCTCTTTTCGGAAACTCCCAAATCCCAACCCTGAAACACCCGAACCCCCCTGGCTCGGTCGGCAGCCCATGGGAACTCATCGTCGGCCACCACCTGCATGTTGATGGACACTTGGGGTTTGCCCGAAGTTGTCACCAACAAAATATTTTTGCATGCATATATGCGGGTATGTGTGTGTGTGTGTGTGTGTGTGTGTGTGTGTGTGTGTGTGTGTGTGTGTGTGTGTGTGTGTGTGTGTGTGTGTGTGTGTGTGTGTGTGTGTGTGTGTGTGTGTGTGTGTGTGTGTGTGTGTGTGTGTGTGTGTGTGTGTGTGTGTGTGTGTGTGTGTGTGTGTGTGTGTGTGTGTGTGTGTGTGTGTGTGTGTGTGTGTGTGTGTGTGTGTGTGTGTGTGTGTGTGTGTGTGTGTGTGTGCGCGTGCGTGCGGGTGCGGGTGCGGGTGCGGGTGCGGGTGCCGGTGCGGGTGCGGGTGCGGGTGCGGGTGCGGGTGCGGGTGCGGGTGCGGGTGCGGGTGCGGGTGCGGGTGCGGGTGCGGGTGCGGGTGCGGGTGCGGGTGTGTGCGCCTGTACGTACGGTATGGCATGGCATGGCATGGAATGGCATGGTATGGTATGCATGCGCGTAGGCATGTATGCGGGTATGTGCATATGTAGGTGTGTGTGTGTGTGTGTGTGTGTGTGTGTGTGTGTGTGTGTGTATGTGTGTGTTTATATATACATATATATATATATACATATGTGTATGTACAGTGTATGTGTATTTATATGTGTATGTAGTATGTAGATGAATATGTACATGGATATGTATTTGACTCTGTGTGTGTGCATATATGTGTGCATGTGTATGCATATGCGCATATGAATACATAAGTGTGTGTCTATGTGTTGGTGTAGGTCTGTGGCTACATCTATGTCTATGCGCAGTTACATGAAGATGGAGGGCCTGGGCTTCAACCCCAGTAACTCCGCATCGCGGCTTGGCAAAGGCATGTTTAGCATCAGTGCTTCATAGCCCTAGAATCACCTGTGATGAATGCAACCCCTAAGTATTGGTTTTGGATAAGTAGGGTGCTGCTTTCTCGGCTTCACAAATCAAGCCCACAGACTTGGGCTTACGAACAAGCCTCGATTGCAACCGTAAAATGCGTGCGCTTAATTATGTCGTATTGGGGGCCCCTCATGAATAATCCTAAACCTGAAACCCTAAACTCTTAATCCTCAACCCTGCGGAGGTAGATCCCGTGGGCTGGGTCCGTGACGCACGCCCGCATTGCGCGTGCCCACGCAGACACTGGAACGATTCCTGACCAAAGCGTCCAAGGTCCAGGACTCAGGCTTTGTTTTCGTGTAAGCGCCTTTTCTGTCGCACGAGCTCTAGAGCCCTTGTTGGGCAGGGTTCAGGGTTTCAGGGTTTCAGGGTTGAGGGTTTTTAGGGATCGAGGGGGCTTAGGCTAAGGGTTTCCGGGAGGGATGGGTTAACAGCTGTTTCGGGTTTCTACATTGTACAGGCATCATACCGAACCCTTCCAGCAACTAAGCTCTTGTGACACACTGTTATGCTAGATCCTCTTCCTGACATCGTTTGAATATATACATATGTATATATATATATATATATACACATATATATACACATATATATATACATATATATATATATATGGGTGGTTGTCAAGATTATGGTCCCTTTTGGGGTACCCTAAATATTTGGTGCCGTGTTATAATAAGGACCCAACTATGGACCATAATTTTGACAACCACCCACATATATATATATATATATATATATATATATATATATATATCCCATATCCCACACATATATATATATATATCTCTCTCTCTCTCTCTCTCTCTCTCTCTCTCTCTCTACCAGACAAAACCCTGGAGACATGGAACCAACAACCCATTCACACCAAGGCTCGAGACGTCCCGTGTCCCGGACCACGTTTCAGCATTTATGAACAAACGTCACCTCATACTATGATAATTAAGATTCCTGCTGCCATTGCTACGATTATCCTTTGAATTCTTGATCTTGGTTCTCACTGTTGCTATTACGATTAACCATGAAGCCCTGCAAGAGCCTCAAGTCTTGACCTGAAAAAAAAGACCTTACTGAACGGATTACCAGAAGCGTTATTACAGGGATTCAAGGGCTTCCTATTCGATTACTCTAATAGAATGCAACTGAGTGAGAAAAGACAAAATCATGAAGCCCCTCCAACCGAATCTAAATACGTTAACGGAATACTTTGATACGCCCCGCTAAACGGCGCAATGCACTGACGAATCATCATGACAAATCGTATGCCC